CCAACGAGAAAAGGAAATATCTGGACTTTTTTCCCACGAAAAATAAGTAATTTCTTATGCTAAAGAACAGATTTTATTTTTCATCTTCCCCAAAACTTAAACAGTACATGGCATAGTCATTTAGCACACGATATCAACTGATATATTCAATTAACAGCCCAAAAATAGTTATTTTAAGTTTCACTTTGATAGTCTTTAAAAACTCAACACTATGAAATGACCTTTATTACAGTTATCCACAAACAAAAAAAGGAGTTCGTTACCTCAGGAAAAATCTTCATATAACAGATACCTTAACCCCTTCAACCTAGGGACTTCTTAGAAATGCTTGCGTTGCCTCTCTAAAACTCCCTCAACTAGTCTCAAATGTCTTTTTTCTTTCAGGGTTCCTAATTTGAGAAGACTATTCTACAGGTAAGTTTAATATTGCAACTTAAAAAAAAATGCAGCTTTCCCCGTAGGGCTTCCATTTAAACTACATTTCAAGTGGAAGGAAAGGGCTGTGTAAGAAATCAAATTCTGCCGCAGACCAAAATTATTCTAGAAAACACAGAGAGGGTAACAGCTTATCGTGAACTCAGCAAGGCTTACTAAAAGTACAGCGGGGCAGACTTTACAAATATCCACTTCCAGTAGATCAGAGAGAGGCTAAAGGGACAGGGTCTGGGACAGTAGCCCTTCTGAATGGCATTGAGATCCATAACTGTTACAGCACTGGGTCTCCATCTGATATTTACACAGGATACGCCAACACTGTCCTGAAAGGGCTGCCCGAGACTCAATGTCTTTCAAGCAAATTAAAACATGCTAAAAATGATCTTCCACATCACTCAGAACTTCGTGAGTTTCAACTCAATTTACTTTGTCTGGACAGACAGACCCAAGCAGGAACTTAATTGTACTATTTGTATTCAGACTTCATGCAAAAGAAATCATTCTAAGATTTTTTTTCTTTTTTTTTATTTCAATTTATTTATTTGCATTCATTCACTGTACATCATTACAGCATACAAAATGAGATTTTCCTTCCAGAGTACACTGTATATTGCCTCAGTCAAGCACATCAACATACATCTTATTGTCAGCAAATAATTTCCATTCTAAGATTTTAAGATCTTGATTTTTAAAATAAATCTCACTAGTTTTATTGTTCTGCTTGTACCTTAACCATGGCAAAATAGATTTGCTAATTCAAAAGTTCATAGAGCAAGTAACCCCGGTATCACGTGCAAACTATTTTGAGGGACTTTGTACATTCAAAAGCATTTTCTTGTAGTCGACTGTCTGCTCTAAAAGCATGAGCTTTAACTGGTCAAGGAAAATGTTTTGTCTCACTATTCAGGAGTGCGTGAGGACATGCGTGTAGCATTGCAGAAAGGACAGAACACAGACAAGGCAGTTCCATCAGGGAAATGCACTTGCTTGTTCATCTTTAAACATCCCCATTCCCAGAGCCAGCAGGTGACGTAGTGGTTAGACACTGGACTGCTACATGTTCAAGTTCAAGTCCCAGACCTGGTAGCTTGAGAGTTACACCAGGCATGTGTGTGTTCCCAAAATCCCAAGAGGAGACTGGAGGGGAAGAGATAATGGCACGCACATCCTCCCTGGGAAGTGATTTCTCAACTTCCTTCTGCCTCTCTCCAGTGAGCACACACACTCTATGGCAAAAAATCTTAAAAAAGAAAAAAAATCCCCATTCTCAACCGTTTTGGATGGTGTGGCAATCCTGACATCCTGAGTTCTCCTTTAGGACACTGTCCTCTGGGGCCATGGACCCTTTTCCCAGCCAGTCCCTCTCAAGATCTTTCCCAACACCACAGGGGACCCCAGCAAAATGCTCTTCCACAGGGGCAGGGAACAGGCCCACAGACTTGCTCAGATTCAAGTTTTATTCCAGAAACTTCTAGGCATTCAAAAAAAGAGAAAATAGTAATAACTCCCACGGTATTCATAATCCAGCTTCAATCATTATCAACATTTTGCCACTTGTCTTTCACTTATTCTCATCTTTTTCCTTTTTCTTTTTTCCTGTATGACATGTGCTCTTACTGGAGAGAGAGAGAGAGAGAGAGAGAGAGAAGGAAAGTGAGAAGGCACCCCCATCTCCCAGGGAGGCGGGATGGACACATCACAATCTCTTCTCCTACATTCTCCGGTTTTGACTTTGGGCATGCACATGTGCCTTGCATGTTTCTCAAGCCAGGCCCAAGACTCAAACAGTGCAGTCATCCATATGGGAGCCAGACATCTTAGCCATCATGCCACCAGCTGGCTCCCTCATTTTTTTTTAATGGAATATTTATAAGGCAAATTTCAGACATTGTGGCAATTTACTGGAATACTTCTGCCTGCATCTCTAATAACTAGGACAAAATTTTTATATAAGCAGCAGGCCATTATCACTCTCTAACAAAAGTATCACTAACTCCATATCATCAGATAATAGCCAGCATATATTCAAATATCCCCCGCTGCCTCATAAGGGCCTTCTTTCAGTTGGCTTGTTCTATCATGATACAAATGAGTTCCACACTTGAATTCAAGTATATCTATTAAACTCACTTATTCTCTAACAGTCTGTCTTAGTATGTTTTGTGCTGCTATAAGATAATTATCTTGAGAGTGGGTAATTTATGAAGAACAGAATTTTCTTACAGTTCTGGATACTGGGAAGTCCAGGGTCAAGGGCCCACACCCAGTGAGGGCTTTCTTGTGGTGTCATCTCATGGTAGAAACCAAAAGGACACAAAAGTATGCTCAACAGAGAGAAGGGAAGGAGGCCAAACTCATCCTTTTATCAGGAACCCACTCCTGAGATGGCTAGCTCTCAAGATAATGACATTAATCCATTTGTGGGCAGAACTCTCATGACTGAGTCTCACCTCTTAAAGCTCCCACCTCTCAGCACTGTTGCATTGGAGATTTCATTTCTAACACATAAACTTTGAGGGACATAAACTACAACAGTCCCACTTCTTTTTTCTTTCCCTTTTTTCCAGGCCCTAATTAACATTTTTGTTGTAGAATAGTAATTCCCAACCTTCCCAGGTCTAGATACCAGCCTCATGGAAAACAGTATCTCCATGGAGAGGGGGTGGGGGCGGTTCAGTCCCAGGATGACTAGAGCACGCCATGTCCAGCTTGCACCCCATATCTGCCACTACCATGTTGCAACATACAATGAAGCAACCACAACACTAAGGTTGATGCTCCCATGAGCATCTCATACCTCTGCTGGTCCAATAAGAGGCAGAGCCCAGGCAATCATGCAAGCAATGGGGAGCAGCTACAAACAGATGAAGCCTCACTCACCTTACTCACTTCTCCACCCCCCACTATTGTAGTCAGGTGGGGATGAGAGGAGTGATGACAACAGGCCACAGACCAGGGGTGGGGAATATCCCAATTCTGTATTTGTCTCCTGCAGGTTGCATAGTACCTAGGTTTTCTATCATTAGTTAAACGGTTTTAGTGGGAGACATGCAAAACAGTGAAGGCCTGGTCCTTACACGTGTACACAGTGAGTGTTCCACTTGCAAGGCCACAAGCTCCATGCTGGGATCCTGGTAGTCAGGACTGCACTGCAAACGAAGCTGTGCTGCTGCAGGAGCCAGGCCAGAGCCTCCTCTGGGCCCCTGCAGGAGGGCAGCAGAAGGAATGTAAGAGCAGGTAGTACCTCCTTTTCCAGGGCCTCTGCTTCTCCACAGGAATGTGACATGGCAGCACATACACAGGTCAAACTAAGGAAGACATTTGACTTTGAGTTTTAGTGATGTCCTAAAAGTTTTCCTATACGCTGTTATTTTTACGTGTTTTGAGAAGATTGAAGATAATAGAAACAAAACAGGTAGCCACATTCTCACCATCCAACATCAAAACTCCTAAGATTCTGTTACATTGGCTTCCTGGGTTTTGGTTTTGGTTTTACTAAAACTGATGGTAGGGACCAGTAGTTAGGGTAATGGCTATGTCGCTGGACTCCCACGTAGTCAAATGCGGTTCGCGTCCGGACCCGGTGCCTTAAAACTCAACGTGAGGCACGCGTGCCCAAGATCCAGAGAGGAGAATGTTGGAGAGGGGATTGCGGCGTGGCCATTCACCCTGGGGGATGATTTCTCGCTTTCTGTCTCTCTGTCTCTCTCTGTCTGTCTGGCGAGCCCCCGCGCCCTATAGCAAAAAACTTCTCCAAAAAGAAAAAAGAAAAAAAACAATACTGACGGTAAAGAGGGCGACTGTCTCTGTTCCCCTCCACCTAAACCACAAAGAGCAACCACCGTCAGGAGTGGATGCCTTCCAAACTGTCGTGTTTTGTTTTTTTGGAGTTGTTTTTTTGTTTTGTTTTTGGGGGGGGCTAGAGATTTTCATTACAGGGCGAGTGCGCTCGCCAGAGAGAGACATAGAAACAGAAAGCGAGAAATCACCCCCCAGGGGGGATGGTCACGCCGAAATCCCTTCTCCTCCATTCTCCTCTGAGGATCTTGGGCATGCACGCACACGCGCCCGCGCCAGGGGTGAGATTAAGCCACCGGACCCGGGACACGAACCGCGGTCAACTACGTGGGAGTCCAGCGACATAGCCATTACGCTAACTGCTGGTTCCCCCAAACTGTCGTTTTAACAGTCGTTTTCTTAGGTGCCTGTGACTGCCGTTTTCACTGCTCTTTTCTCTCCAACTCCACTGCACTCTCCCACGTAGTAAGCGCTGACCACCGCGGCACGTTCTGGGACGAGGAGCGACAGCCTACGGGAGAACCCGGAAACGCCCGCCGGGCCGCGCCCCTCGCACTTCCTCCCCATTGGTTTCTTCATCGTCCCGCCCACCAATAAGCCTCTCCCACTGGCCCTTCACCTTTCACCTCCTCACCCTCCAGGGTTCCAAAGGCCCAGGCCCCGCCTTCCGCGAGGGTGAAAAATAGTGCTCCGCCGTGACCCGCAGTTATTGGTGACTACTTGCTGTCCATCACAGAAGAGCCAGTCGTGCATTGGCTAAAGCGAAGTGGAAGGGCGGGGAAGTAGGTACAGCAGCCTCCACGCATGTCCGGTGCGTGCGCAGAGAGGGCTGCTGGCACAAGCAGTCATGGCGGCTCAGTGCGTGAGGCTGGCGCGACGCAGTCTCCCGGCTTTGGCGTTGTCTCTCAGGTAAGGAGTGATCCGCTATCTCCTCAGCGCAGCCCCTATTGGGGCAGCGGCTCTCCCTTCCTACTGGAGCCTTTCCTTGCCCTGGGCCACCTTCCCGGCCTCAGCCTGGAACAGGGCTTCCCCGGCCCGGGGTTTCCCGATGCGACACGCAGACCTCGCGTGGCCTGCTCTATGGTGGGGACTCGGTGCTGTCCTCATGGGTCTCGGGAAAGGGCAGGAAAGGCCGCTTGGGCCGGGAAATCGGGGCATTAGGGCGCTGAAGTGTGCCGTCATGGTGGCCGTAGCACACGTGTGCGTGTGACCGAGTGCTTGCGGCGACCCTTCGCAAACGAGTTTGCGACTCCCACGCAGCTGGCCGCACGTGTCCTGGGCAGCCTGAACTGCGGTTGAGACTTGCCCAAGGTCACACGGCTAGGCAGAAGCCGGCCCGTGCCCGGGGCAGGGCAGTGGCTTATTCCTTTCGGTAGCTGCAGCCTGCAGCTCAAGCCCGCACCGCGGCGCCGCTCGGCAAGTTACGGGTAACCAAGTCGCCCGTCGTTGGTTCACGCTGCCTCTAAGTCTCCCACCACCTCCTCCTTCCCCGGGGTCTGAGATCAAAAGAGCAGCAGAGCCTCTCCTGCTGTGGGGGGAAAGGAGTTTGTTTAGGCAAGAGCGGACTCCACGGTTGAGGGTCACAAGAGTCAGTGCCCTCGCTCCCCCTCCCACCCTTCATCAGGGCTGAAAAGTTGCTGAGAATTTACCGCCGTTTCTGTTTGAAAAACTGCCTGGAACCAAGTTATTGATTAAAGGCAGTACTGTGGACCGGACTTCGGGCAGGAGAGCAGAGTACAGTCTAGTCTCTCCCAGGGAGATTACCCACTTGGATGAGAGTAGGCGGGAGAGGCGAAGATAGCCTACGGTGAAGGTGATTAAGGGGTGAATCCGAGCTTAATGAGGTACATTTTTAAAAGCATGGCAACAAAAAGCAGTGACCCGCCTGGAGTCCTTAAATATTTAGAAAGGCTTTTTGCTCAATTAGTTTTTGGTTCTGTATTAAGAATTGCTAGGAAGGTGACCACCAAGTCAGCCTGGTTACTGTCTCTGAAACTGGTTTTGTGGAAAGATGCTCAACCAGTGGGAGGTGAGAGCTCTGAATAGTAGTCCGAGCCCTCAAGGCAACTCAGTTTTCTGAGAAAGGGATCTGATTCTGGGCCCTGCTGCAGTCCTTTCCATACCTCCAACTGCTGCCAGCCCCTCTGTTGACTGTGCTTCAGGAAAGGGTCTGTGTAGAGCAGAGCTGACCTGCAGAAAGGTGGTGACTGTCACACTGGGGCCTGAGCAGCTAGCAGAGACAGCAGGCTTCACAACAGTACAGCCGCGTGTAGTACACTTAGCCTTTTAAATGACAGAAGTGAATACAGTGAAAAGGTCATCGCCCTTCACCTTCATGGTAACAGACTGTAATGGATCCTTCCACCCTTTTCTACAAGCCTTGGAAACATGAAAACACACAGTTCATGCTTACAAAAGTGGGGTCATGTTCTGTGCACTTCTTAGTTGCATTTCTTAACAAAGCACACATAAGTGCATCCAGAAGATGTTAGTTTAGCCTTGGTATTCCAAATCGTGAGAGCAACTGTTTATTCCTTTTTTTTTTTTACTGTTTCCAACTTGCCACTGGTACAGTGCTGTAGTAGACATCCTTGTATGTATAGCCTATGTAATCTTTCCATGTTCATTGGTGCAATTTTCTTTTATCTGAGAAGAAAATTAAGTGTAGTTTATTCTCATATTAGATTGTGGCATAATAAAGAGCTTCACTGGCCCTGATGAAGAAATCTGGGTTTTAAGACTGTTCTGTCATTGGGGAAGTAGATGGCATGGTGGTTAAGGGTGTTGGACTCCCACGAGGCTGACCCTGGTTCGAGTCCCAGACCTGGCAGCTTGCTTTCTCACTCTCTCTCGCTCTGTCCAGTTCTTTATATTTCTTCAGTACATGTCCCATGTTTGTCTATCTCCAGGCCTCTGTTCAAGCAGCTCTGTCTTGAATAAAGTACATCTATCTTGTCCGCCCCCATCTCTTTATAATTCCCACCTATCTTATAAGTCTTTCAGGATCTTCCAGTTCCCCACTCTAGGTTATGTCCTCTTACTCTGAGCTCCCCAAAGCATTTGGTTCCCCTTTCATCATTTCTTTAAATAGTCTATTATTATTTTTGTATTGACAGGCCATGTGTGCTTACCAGAGAGAGAAAACACCCGCCAGTGGAGCATGGTCATGCTGCAGTCTCTTTCCTTGATTTCTCCGTCCTATGCACTCAAAATGTTTTTCAGTCTGCCAGGGCTGGGATTACAATCTCTGTTGATCATAAGGGACCCAGGTTCCCAGTGCACAGCCCTTAACCACTGTACTACGGAGCCAACCCTCTCTTAACACGTTTAAACCCCGAGGATAGTTCCTTATATATAGTTATCTTACCTCATAAGAGTAAGTGCCCCAGGGGCAAGATCTCTGCCCTCTTCATCTTTTTCCACCAGTAGCAGCAGGGGGCCTCACCTCTAAAAGTAGCTAGTCCATGAATACAGACAGGGTAGGGTTTGGGTGACTGTGACTCGAAAGTCACCTTACAATGGGAAGGGGAGGGGATTGGTACTCTCTTGTACCAAGTACTGTAACGCGGTATATTGATGTATTAGTCTGAGTGTGTATTGCAGAAGACTTTGTATTTGAAAAAGCTTCTGGGCCAGCAGGTGATGCAGTAGTTAAATCCCACATGGTCACCTACACAGTTTGAGTCCCGGACCTGGCAACTTGAAAATCATGCCAGGCACATGTGTTCAAAATCCTGAGACAAGAATGGGGAGAAGGGATTGCAGTGTGGCTATTGCCCCTGGGGGTGGTGTCCCACTGTCCCACCCCCATCCCAATCTCTCTCTGGGAACGCACATACCCTATAGCATAACTTTAAAAAAAAAAAAACTTCTATATATACTCAATTTGCCTTTTATCAGAACTCAGATCCTCTCTCCCCTACAAGTCACTAACAGATAGTTAGAAATTGTCCCAAATTTCTAAAATCATACACCTGACTTTTTTTTGAGAGAGAGAGAGGTTTTTCACTATAGGGCGCGTGCGCTCGCCAGACAGACAGAGAGAGACAGAAAGCGAGAAATCACCCCCCAGAAGGGATGACCACGCCACAATCCCTTCTCCATTCTCCTCTCGGGATCTTGGGCACGCATGCACACGCATCTAGCGTGGGTTTTAAGCCACTGGGTCCGGGACGCGAACCGTGGTCGACTACGTGGGAGTCCAGCGACATAGCCATTACGCTAACTGCTGGTTCCCACACATGACTTTTTAACAAGCTAAAAACCCAAAGGCTTAATTCCTAACATTTGGACTTCTCATTAGGCCCACTCCCCGGTTGCTGTGCACTGCTACAAAACAAAAGAACAATGGCCAGAACTTGGAAGAGGACGCGGGTCAAAGTGAACAGAAGACAGATCCTGCCTCTGCAGAGAAAAGCCTCCTCGAAGAGAAGGTCAAGTTAGAAGAACAGCTAAAAGAGACCATGGTACGGACTCCTGGACTCTTGTGAGACACGTGCTCTATTGAACTGTTTCTTGTGTGGCCCACATTAAAGGCTCCAAGTTTCACTGAGGACGGATCAAAGTGAGAGGAGTTCAGTCATTTGTCTACAGTCTCTGGTGGGCTCAGGTAGCAAGTTACTGCTAGAGCAGAAACTAGAACCTATATCCCATGTGGCTCTGGTTCTGACAGGACAGTGATCTCTATATGCTACATTTATTATATTGAATTAATACTTAAAATGGCTGGGCCAGGTAGTGACATGGTAGTTAAGGTGCCTAGATCCCTTGTGGCCAACTGTGCAATTCAAGTCCTGGACTTACAGCTTGAAAAATACATACAGTACATGTGTGTGGACCAAAAATCCATAGAGAAGAATGAAGGGATTACGGTATGGCCACTCTCCCTGGGGAGTATTTTCTCACCCACCCCCTACCTTGTCACTCTCCAGTGAGTGCATGCATCCTAAAAAAGATTTAAAATAAATGAAGATACTCAGTATCACTTTTAAACTGGAATTTAGGAAGAAAGGAACCATAACATTCTACTTCTGAGACTGAGGGCAGAAGTGTAGTTATGTGGAGCTCTTACAGGGTGGTAGGTGTTTTATGGACTAGTTAGTAATATGGATTATTAGTCTGTGTGACAAAGCATAAGTGATACAAGTTCCTTAAGGATTTAGGAATGATGACATCAAACACTTGTGTGGGCACTGTTCTAAGCTCGTTATATATGTTAGTCCTCACCGCAGCCCTGTGAGGAAATTGTTGAGGAACCTGGAGCACAGAGGGTCAAGGAAATTTTCCAAGGTCACCTGGCTACCAAGTGGTAGAGCCAGGGCTTGAATCGGGACAGTAACCTGGGAACTCCTGCTCTCCGCCATTGCTCTGGAATTGCCTGAAGACTAAAAACAGATGTGGCATAGAGACCCTCACTGAGTAATTTAGTAAATGTTAAAAAGAGAAAAGCTCAGGTGAGTGAGCTCACAGGCAAAGTGCTGAAAGATGAGGAAGGTAGCAGCACTCTGGTGATTATGACATGGTGAATGTCTGAACCGAGCCATCTCTTGTCGACATGGAGAATACCAAAAGTTCACTGGTGGATCCTGACGCAAGGGAGGCCCAAACTTCCAGCCCGTGTACATCCTCTTGGACCTTTCCTCCAAGATATGGGAACTTGAGATGGAGCAGCCCCTTCTGGGCTTCTAGACTCCTAAAGTTGGACACTGCTGGGGAAAATAATGGTTCTTTTTTTAAGGAAAGGCATGTTCTTCAAAATCACAAGAAAGTAGCAGTTTTTTTCTTACTTGTTTATCTGTACACTTGAATAAGAATGGACTTTGGGGCTATATGAATACATGACACCCTGACTTTGTTTCCTGCTCACTGGAAATATGCACACAGGTTTAAGTCATTCTTACTAAACTGTACTGTTTAAGTCCAGAATCTCAAGTAATTATAGATGTTATTTGCATTTATTAAGTATTTTCAAATCAGACTTGCTTTCTTTTATATTTTATTCATGTACTTTTTTTCCCTTTTCTTTTTTTAGGAAAAATATAAACGAGCTTTGGCAGATACTGAGAACTTGAGGCAGAGAAGCCAAAAATTGGTGGAGGAGGCAAAATTATACGGTAACGTTAAACATAAGGTAGTCGGGACAGGGAAGAGTAGGGACCATGCACAGGGAAATACTAAGAGCAGAGCTAAACGGTGAGCAGTGGGAGGCCCAGCAGTTGGATAGCCTCCAGTTTTTTAAGCTGGGTCAGCAGTAAAAGTGTTAATATATTGAGAAACAGAAATGAGGCAGTTCTAACTTAAGTGCAAATGGGGCGTGCTGGTAGGTGCTGCTACTCGGCAGGCTTAATCCACATGGGAGGTTTGAGTTTGGGGCCAGCAGGTAGTACTGAGGTTAAGGCAACAGATCTCACATGGCTGGCTTTATGATTTGAGTCCCATACCCAGTGGCTTGGAAATCATACTAGCACATAAGCATGTGTACCCACAATCCCAAGAAGAGAATGGAGAAGGGATTGTGGCATGGCCATATCCCACTTGGGGGCTGATTTCTCACTCCTGCCCCCATTTAAAAAAAAAAAAGAAGAACTTAAGAAAAAAAAAGAATTGTAAGTGCAGCCCGTTCAGTAAGGAAACAGTTATGCGCTTCCACATAGACTGGTGTGACCCTGTGGCTGATTTTAGCAGGGTAGCCTCTCTTATGCTCTTGGCCATTCCAGAGATAGTACGAGCATCACCAAATCCTAAACATGCTGTTTGCATTGTCACCTTTGTTTATTTTTGTCGCTGTCCTTCCCACCACAGTTGAAATCGTTGAGGCTTAGTGACTTGCCACACATGACACAGCTAATGGCACCAGCGTTTAGTCCAGCGCTCCCAACTCCTTATCTGTGGTGTCGACTGAATAGGAGGCTGCCATTTGAGTGCTTACTCAAAAGGCTGTATGCACCTTCAGTTGGATCGGGTGTCGTTTCTCCCACGGTATAGATGAGGACAGGCCCAGAGTGAGAGGCTGAATGGTGGAACTTGGCGGGAGGGAGGCCCAAACTTCAGCCTGTGTACATCCTCTTAGACCTTTCCTCCAAGATGTCGGAACTTGAGGTGGAGCAGCCCCTTCTAGGCTAGGAGTAAGAGGCAGATGGGGCTAGGGGAAGAGGCCAAATAGAAACTAAGGTTCAGACATTAGTTTGTGGCCTCATTCAACACAGAGAGCAAATCCCATCTTGAAATACTTTTCTTCCTGGTACTGTTGCTTCAGTTTCCTGGTATTCCTCCCTTTTCTGGTTATACCCTTTATGACTTCCTATCTATCTGACCTGTAAATGTCTGGGTTCTTTGGAATTCAGTTCCATGCCTCTTCTCTCTTGCCGTTTTCCTTGGGAGCTTGTCCAATCTTGTGGGTTTAAATGGCATTCGTGCTCCGATTTCTGCTCCCACCCCAGGTGTTTCCACTGAAACCCTCATGTCCTTTTGCTTACTTGTGTGTCTTGAGGACAATTTAAACCTAATTTCCACCCACCCCACCCCACTCCCGCCTTGTGCTTCTCTTCAGTTTTCCTAAATGCTAACAGGTCTCATCCCAGAAAAGGTTTTGGGGCTTTTTTGATTGTTGGTTTTAAATGAGGAGGCCATTGTAATTCCAGGACAAGTGAAAAGATTTGACAAATGATGTTAACTGGCCTATGCATGAAACAGTGCTTCCTGCAGTTGATATGGAATGCAAATGTCATCTTCTTTAACTTCATTTAGGCATTCAGAGTTTCTGCAAGGACTTGTTGGAGGTCGCAGACATATTGGAGAAGGCAACACAGTGTGTTCCACAAGAAGAAATTAAAGATGACAACCCTCACCTGAAGAACCTCTATGAGGGGCTCGTAATGACTGAAGTCCAGATCCAGAAGGTGTTCACGAAGCACGGCTTACTCAAGTTGAACCCAGTTGGAGCCAAGTTCGACCCTTATGAACATGAGGCCTTGTTCCACACACCAGTTGAGGGCAAAGAGCCAGGCACAGTGGCACTAGTTAACAAAGTGGGGTATAAGCTGCATGGGCGTACCCTGCGGCCTGCCCTGGTGGGGGTGGTGAAGGAAGCCTAGCTGCCTGTTCCAGGGGTTTGGATTTTGTAAATCACTTGCTGTCACTGGAAAGGCTGGTTCATCTTTTCTCATCTATGAATATGTTTGACCTTTTCCCAAACCTTTCTGGAAAGTTTCACCAGTGGCTAAACAGAAAAGCCAGTTGCGCAATTGTGTCAATGAACTCTTAATTCAGGAGTCTGTTCACTGATTTTTTTAGTATCACGTATTTAATAGTTGCACACCATTACAGAGGAGGGCTGATGACACTACGGGACCGCTAGAGTATCATGAATAATGTATCTGCCCAAACTCTGGTGACATCAAAGCATTTTAAACAAATAAAGGTCTTCGGGAATTCCACTGTGTGGCTACGTGGGTTCGCCAGTCTGCACTGCATCTTCTACAACTTAGGGTAACAAGTTACTGGCGTACGTAGCCTGCTACACAGCACATTCATTGAGGGAAAGGCAAGAGCTGAAACATTTTTCTTGCAAAAAGTCATTATGATGAAGAACATATGTGAGTCATAGTGCTGAAGACAACTGACCTCTGGCTTTTCTGTAGCAACCTGAAATGAACATACGTGTTTTAACAATTCTTGGCACTCTTCCCAGTAACTGAGTTTGACAGAATCTGTTCCTTCTTCCCTGTTCTATTCATCTAGGTATAGAAACACTGAAATCTATATTCAGCTAGTTACTAACGACTTCCGAGGTACCTAGTGAGATGGACTTTCTCAAAATATGAAGACTGTACGCTTGGTATACTTTAAATGTTAATGTTTAATCTTTAAATTTTATTTAAGAGGATTAAAGACCTAATGTTTATTTTCCTACTTTCCGATAATTTTGTGTTCTTCAGTGGGAGATCCTAGAGCCTGGAGGCAGGCATGGTAGCGTTCTTGTGCTGTCCAGTCTTGACACACAGCCTCCAACACAGGGACGGCAGCAGATCTCTTCTAGGGCAGCTGCATACTGGATCACCAGGCCTCTGCCACGTGTAGACGTGGCCTTGCAGCCTGTTTGAGAACACAGACTGTTGGGACCGAAAGTGTTCAGGAGGCACAACACACCAGATTTGCAAAAGGTGGCCTAAGAACTTAACTTTCAGCCAGAGGACCCTCTATGCATTACCACTAGGGTTTGTTTGGTTTTGTTTTTTTGTTTGTTTGTTTTAAAAAACAAGCTGAGTATCCGTTAATAACGAGAAAGAATCTTCTACCACATTTGCTTCCAAGAGGTACTTCTAGGACTTAAGGGCATTACAAGTAAGTCCCTTTAGTACATTAAAAAATGTGGGGCCGATTTACTTTGCTTGCAATTTCGAAAGACACGGGTATTACGTCCATGGAATGGCCACACCACAATCCCTTCTCCAGTCTCAGGATTTGGGGAAGGCATATGCATCTGGTGTGATTTTTCAAGCTGATGGGTCTGGGACTCGACCCTTGTCGTCAGCCATGCAGGATCTAGCACCTTAACCTCCACACCACTGCTGGCCCACCATAACTAAGATTTCTGATTTACACCTTTCCTTAAATTATTTGGTCAGAAACATACCAGAACTAAAGGCATCATAGTATATTAGAAAACTTAAAACTGGGAATTCCAGTTCTGCGTACTTTTGTATCTTACAGCTGTGAGTGCATCACGTTACCTCCCTGGAACACATCTGTAAAGTGAGGGTGGAATAAGAAACTTCAAACTAATTTCTGTGAATGTGTGATGCCCTCTTCCCTTTACAGTTAATGACACACCTGCTAAAATGTACTGTCAACTCGTAACCTAAAGACAGTGTGCCTTAAATAGAGCGTATTTCTTTACAGTAAGTTTCAGTCATTCACATCACCACTAACAGGAAAACACCTTTCAATTGGAAATTAAAGATGTGTTTCATCACATACTAGTCCAGTAGTACTGGATTCTGCCTAATTGCAGCACAGGTAAGCTGTATAGTGTGGACCATCAAAACTAAAAGGGAGGGAACCAGCAGTTAGTGTAATGGCTATGTCGCTGGACTCCCACGTAGTCGACCACAGTTCACGTCCCGGACCCAGTGGCTTAAAACTCATGCTGGGTGCATGTGTGTGCATGCCCAAGATCCCGAGAGGAGAATGGAGGAGAAGGGGTTGGAGTGTGGCCATTTTCCCTTCCGTAGGGGTGATTTCTTGCTTTCAATCTTTCTGTCTCTCTCTGTCTCTCCAGCAAGCACACGTGCCCTATAGCAAAAATCTCTC